GTGAAATATGTTCACTATAAAAGTCACAGATTATTTAGCTAGGAAAATTCAACTCCTCATAAAAGAACAAAGCACTTCTACTCAGATATAATAGTAAATATTAAACTAACAACTGATATTCACATTTCCGTACAAGATATACCAAAAATAAAGTTGAGTGTACTCAAATTTGTAAATGAAGTATGGGGCTGGCTTAGCACTTCAGAATGACCTCACAGACAAAACCTGACAGCAGGCCCTGGGTCAGACTTTCACACGTAAATCCCTTAGAAGTGGTAACAACAGAGTCAAAGTGAAGATTTCTCTTTCAGGATAAAACAAAACTAAAAGAGGAATTCTTGACTAAGAGTTGCCTGGACCTTTCACTTTTTACTTCTTGAAAGATGGCCCTAATGGTAAGAAAATACAGAAAACACCCCAGGAGACTACGGCACCAGAGCTAGCCAGCCTGGCAAGGTCACTTACTTAATGTGTGAACTCTGAGACTCAGTTTCCTCATCACATTCAACTTTCCCTTAAGTATGAAACTGTAGTCACCTTGTCACCTCAAAAATCATTAGATAGGGATGGGATAAGGAACAACAGGTGTTTTCACACAGCCCTACTAAAGATTCTGTCACAATACTTTCCTACTTGAAACATGTTGGGAACTTATAAGTCTCAGACTTGTTTTCAAAAATTGGATTATATGAGTAATGTTAAATACTAGAAGGATTCAAAAGCTACAAATGTTTAAAGTCACATAAAAGTTACAAATCCACCTTCCCACACTAAAATATTTATGAGCTGTATCACAGATACTACTGAACACAACAGGCTCACAGGGAGCAGGGTAGGGGGAGGGTTTAGGGACAAACTGAAAGAGGAGGGACCGGGAGAGATGTCTTTGAGGGCCAAAGCAAAGGAAGAAGGAAAATAAAGTTTCAGCAACTTAAAAGATAATCAGAATATGACAGGTGGGTTTAGGATTTATTTGAGCATTTTGTTCTATACTCCTTCTATTCCCTTTCTAGTCAATCAGAACTCTACACATGATAAGTTTCCAGACATACATCCAAAACTGCAGAACTCAGCATTTCTTAACATTAAATTGCTAGTAAGTCTCCCATTCAATCTTTAGCCATCCTCCCTTTATGCAGAGTTTCTCATAGTATGTCACAGGACCTCGAAACTAATACCTGCTTCATTGGCTAACCTCTAAATTCCAGGACCCTACTTCAGAAACACTGAATTAGAATATCTAAGGCTGGGGTAGGAACTTCCAGTTTTAGCTAGTACAATAGACAGGTATTTTGCAACCTATAAGTCATAAACTCAATGTAGTAGATGATAGTACTTCTTGTTTAAAAGAATAGCTTGGAATAGATTCAATTTATGAAGATTACATAGGAACAGAAAATATTAGAGAGCACTATGCTTTATGCAAACTTGTTTTAGATCTTTAAGTGGGTTAGGACAGAAAAGGTTTTTCTTACCATATGTCTCACTCAAACATACTTAAACTATTTTTATTTTTATTTGTGCTTTTAAATAAGTTACCTTTTTAAAACTTAATTATTCCTTTTACAGAACACAACTTTGCTTGTTTAGGATCTCATCTATTCCATTCCAAAAGTTTCTATTGTATTCCTTGAATTTTTCACTTGAGGGCCATATTTACCTATTGGATTAATTATCTACCCAACATTTTACAGTATTTTAAGTTTTTCTAGGATTTCAGAAATCTAACTTGTTGGGCTGGGGATATGGCTCCAAGCCGGGGCTATGGATCAGAAGCATAAGCACCTGCTTGGCAAGCACAAGGTCCTGATCCCTGCTCAAAAAAAATCCAACTTGTTATTTTTACTTTGTTTTTAAACAACTTTCTAACTACATAATGTTATTTCACCACTAACATCCTTGACTTGATTCAGATAATTTAATTTTAAATTCTGTAGGTATGACAATGTTTTAGGGTATTTAATGCTTTACGTATTTCATTCCTTTATTCTCTCTTCTAGTAACATAATTTTAGACAGAGTATTTTTTGGCTTGCTTTCTTTGGCAGTCCCTTGTATAACTGGCATTTAATTCTGACCATATCTTTTTCTTTGGGAAAAAAAAAAAAACAAAAACAATCCCCATTAATACATGAAGATTTTCTGGCTATATGTCTACAGTTTTAAAATGATGTACAGTGTACAGATATTTCAAGGAACTGTAATTGCCTGCTAAAGGATAATGTGATGACATGAATACTGAGTAAAGCTGTACAGAAAACTTTCCTCAGGTGTGACTTAAAATATAGAAATATCTGCAGTTTGACACAGTATGTGATGACTGCCCTTGAGGTAGTACAAATGAACTGACTGAATAACGGTCACAAAACCTTCAAGCAGGAAGAAGCTCCAGTCACTCTCAGCCTTGATCCTTACTGCCTCCAGTAGAGTGTTTCTCCACGGGCAGCCCTAGGACCCCCAGTTGACAGATGTAGGGGATGTATTAAAAATGGTGCAGTGAAGTCATACATTTTTTGCTAATGTTGGATTTGCTTTCATTTCACAGCCACAGAAAACAATCTCACTAAAAAATACAGAAGAGATACTACTCAGCCCTATTTTAAAAGGTGCCCTTGCTGAAGAAATGTTAAGAAGTGAGGCGGACTTCAACTTACAAGTTCAAGAGGTGTCTTTGTCTTAAATAAGTACCTGCTTAAGTTTATATCTGGAATTTTAGGTATTCTGCTTGTGATGATGCAGTAACTGCCTAAATTAATTTGAATATCACAACTATAAATGTTATCTGCACTCTTGTGAGACACTAATAATAATCTCAGGGATTTCCTGAAAGAACAGGCACATCTGTAATGAGATCATTTTTAAAAAGTTTTTTATTTTAATAGGTTAAGCTGTGAAACCACTATTACTTTAATAGAGGTACTATAAGATCTCTAATACAAAAATAACTGAGATTCAGGGCAAGAGCTAAATAATGGCCCTTATTTTATCTATACAGTTTGTGAAACATAAGAAAAGATATTGTAAATATGCTAATTAATGACTAATAATTAAAAATAGCAATTTCACTGAAAAATGCAGTTTTATTATAATTTAGCTAAGAGGAACATTAGTTTCAGACCTGTTGCTCTTTGTATATTAAAAGGCAAAGCTATCTCACAAACTCTTAAAATCTGACACTTTTTACAGAAAGCACACAGATCTAACACTGCACACAGTGAGCAAGACAGATAGTTAAATCTAGATTGCAAATTGCTCAAAATATCTAAGTCTCTAATGGAAAGTTCCTCCTAAAACTATTCTAATACCTCCAAAGATGTGACACTAGGAAATTATAGATGAGCCACCTTTTCAAAGCTACATTAAATACAAAATGCAGAATAATAAATTTGGAAGTTCAGAAACTCTTGATGAAGAAGCAAAAACTTTGAATTCTTATTTTGTATCATATCTAGTAAATACATTTAAGACAAAAAATAACTGCTATTTCATTGACACAGTGACTTTTAAAGATCATATTCCAAGATTTAGCCTCTCGAAACTACTTCACTGACATCAAAGACCAATACTGTTTTTGAAAATATTGTTTTAATGATGTATTCATTTGGTATCTTGAAGAACTGCAAGAGTGTCGGAATGCTTTTATTCTGATTCCCATATTAATTTCTGAATTGATCAAATCTATTTCCATAGGGAAATAATATTAAAAGTTTGTTGTAGTGAACAAAACAACGTGCCTTACATACATAAATGTGGTGGTCTTTGGCAATCAGGAATGCATTCTGAATACTATTGCCATATGTTCAAAAATGAAAAACTTTTCTTCCAAACAAGTATAAAAAAAAATCAAAGGCATTAAAATCTACATATCTTGGTGTGCACTAAATTCATCCTATAGCACAATCTCATCCCAACAATTCTACTGGCTTGTTAAATACATGACATATGAGATGTCTAACTGAATCAACTATCTAATTATGAGCAGTAATTTAATATGTACATTCTAAAAATATGTTGGACACAGAATTTATACAAATTATCTGAAGTCCCTATGTACTTTAGCAGGATGGAAACTACCACAAAGGTCTAGTATTCAAATTCCTCTTAATATGAAGACATTTTATTAATGTACATAATATCCTATCAAGCCAGGAAATAAAATACATACCATCCCTGAATTTCATTGCATGAAAAACTGAATATAAATTAATTTTCATTCACAAAATACAATTTCTAAATTCACTATGATATGATGCTACAAAGCACCACAGTTGATTTATATAATTTTGTACAAATAATTTTCTTAATGTGTCAGCAACCCAGAGTATTTGAAGTTTGTTCACAATGGAGGGATAAACTTGAAAGTTTGTCTGTCTCGTGTGTATTTTGTATATTCTTCCATTTGGGAGGCATATATAGTATTCTAAAAGGCACTTAAAAGATCTGAAAGTTACTATTTGTTAAATATGTTCCTACTTTCTCCAAATACATGAATTTTGAAGGAAATTATGATCAAGTTTGAATCAAGTGCACTAAGTACCAAATGTACTACACTGTCCAATCCATCCTTCCCCAACCCAAAATTAACTGAAAGCCCGTCAGACTAGTCAAGAAGAGACCCAGGGGAGAGTAAGAAAATGTCAGTCACTACAATTAGAGGCCTTTTGTACATCACTTCATTATTGGGTTTTTATAGTACTGTCCAACAAATTCACTAGGGCTTGAACTCTAATAAACTTCATTATCAAATAAAACATCTCTAAAAATAAGTTCTCAAATGATCTTGCAGACAAATAGGAAACAAACATGTAAATGATTTTAAAATAAAAGTAACCAACAGTTGAACTCTAAAACCGAAGAATCATTAGTTGACTCCTGCTGTAAGAAATTCAGTGAGATAAGCTTTCTGGGGTATTGTAACCCAGTGAAGCATCTTCCTATGTGAACAATAAGGATTTATGTCATTACCAGTGAGCTTTCCTGTAGAAGAGTTTGCATACTTACCCAGGAAGGTAAATGGAAAGCGCACAGGGCAGAAGACGAACTGCAGCAAAGCCTTTGTCATATGATAGTGACCTATAAAGTATCACATAAAGGCACATCAGCATGTAAGGCTTTAGGATAGCAGAGTCCCAGGTCCTGTAACATATAGGAAGAAAGGACACCAAAATTCAGGAGTCCAGCTCTCCCTCCTACAACTCCTCCCCCTCTTCTCCACCTTCCTCGGAGCAAGAGCCCAGCCTCAAGGGTAGGAAAGGGAAAGCGGCTGGCTGCCCCTACTCAAAGGGTAGAGGATGAGGGGCAGCTTGGCTGGCATTCCAGGGTATCTCCAGCACCCTTATTTCCTATTCCCTGTCTGTACAAGGCAGAAAGTTGATCTATTCTGCAAACGCAAAACCCACACGGCGCTCATTCATCAACTTGCGTAAGTGATCACCGCCCCCTGGACGGGTACACCAGCAACCAAATCATAGCGATCCACAGGGAACCCCAGCCTTGCCTCGCCCAGAAGCTCCGAGGAGGTGCCCCCACGGAGGCAATGAGTCCAGGTGTTGCAGCCCTTAGCCCTACAGACCCCCGGGCGGCCGCAGCCATCTCCCAAAAGCTTGGCCCGGGTCACAACCCCGAGATCGGAACCGACTGGGAAAACATTCGGCAGAGCCCATGGCTACAACCCCAGGGCCACCAGGTCTGCGAGGGTGGGGTGGGGGAAGCTAAGAATCGGGGAGGAAGGAAGGGAGCCAGGGATCCCACCCAGGCTTTGTTGCTGGTCAACATCAACTTTGCATCTTAGTACAAAATGTCGATCTTAAGGGCTGACAAGACAGAGGCAGAGGGAGAAAGAGAAAGGCAATAGAGTCCATCTTGCTTTGGGGAAGAGGAGGCAGAGAAAGAATGAAGTGCAAATCCCACACTCTGGGCGTAAAAGTCAGCTAAACACCTTTCCACCAAGGAGGAGCAACGAGTGGGGTGTCCCCGTGCCGGTGCCCGCCCGAACTGGCGGCGGTCTGGGCAGAAAACGCCTCCCTCTCCTCCTCTTCCTCCTCCTTCCCCTCCTCCTCCCGTTCCTCCTCCTCCCGTTCCTTCTCCTCCTCCTCCACTCCTCCCGCGGCCCCGGCGAAGATCCCGCCGCCACTGCCTCAACCTCCGCTGACCCCCAAGGGAGGCACCGCCGCCGCCCGGCCCGGCGCTGCCATTCCGGGTTCGGACCGTGCGGCGCGGCGCGGCGCGCGTGGGG